GAATGTGAGTGGAGAATTATTTCTGTTGGTGCGAATTTGAAAGAAATAGCAGGTAAAAGGAACAAGCCGAGAAAAATGTCAGTGGGTCTCCGTTTCTGACTGGATTTGGGACGATCATTGTCCGCTCCTGCAGGTTCTTCTTTTATATGCTCGCACATCTAGCTTCCAAGCGCGCTTCACGCAAGTCCTGGGCGGATGCTCCTAATCTCCCTTCCACAACCATAGAGAAAGGGAGCGGGCCAATAAATAAAAGGACATTGGCCGACCGTCTCTGCCTACGTCCTCGCCGGTACAGGCAGCGTGAATCGAGCCTGTCATTTAGAGTCAAAAATACAATTATCCTTTCAGACTCGGCGACGGCTCAAGTCTCCTCATCAACAGTTTACGTGCCATGCTTGACAAACTCAGCACACAAGAGGATCTCGATGAAGTGAAGGCGTTCCTTGCTGACAAACGGGTTTGTTCACATTGTTGTACTTTTTTTCCCAGTGTATTCAAAATCTGGGCAGTGCTCGCTAGGAACCTCACCTCCTGTGCATCCGGCGGTGACAAGAATAACCAAGATCCGTCCACAAATGTTAAAATAGTTGGAAGCGTAATGATTCGCACAATGACAACTTTCGATTGTCACTCACTATTTGCATGAGTGCCATTGGACAAGCTCCGCGATTTCGAGAGCGTTTTCACCCGTGATCGTATTGTGATCATCAAGATCGATGGCGATCGCGCCAAAGAAATAATAAGTGAGGTGCGATCTAGCCAGCCCATTCTTTTAATACCTGATTGTCACCTTTCCTCTCTCCTTATCTCTCTTATCCCTTGCTTTCAATGAATGTCTTCTTGTTATATATTAATTATTGATAATAATATTGCTTTTTTGGCGAATTAGCACTATTTGTGTCTGGCGTGACCGATTAGGAGTGCATGGTGCACGTCCCTTATATTTTTTCTTGCCAATGGCATTCGCCCTATGGGGTCCGATCAAAAATCTGTTCTTTTTCATATTGCTCTCAACATTTCAACCTTTGAGTTGCAGTCCTTCATTGGTAGGTGGGGTGTCAGATTCGCGCATCTACGGATCATGTATAGGTTTATCAGACTGTGGGATTTGAAGAGGCGACTGTATATCCAGCGCTTAATCGATGAAATGGTCCGATGAGTCAAGAACGTTAGTAATGTAGACTGCCAATGTCAGATAATGGAACCGAGGGGCACAGATCTCAATAAGGCGACCCGCCCTGAAGCGAAGGGCCTGCAGAGGAGCAGCGATCACGGCGATCAGAGCGTAAAGTGAGGCAAGTGGGCTGTCCAACTGGGCGGGCGTTAGAACTAGAACTTTCAGCGGCTGTTTTCCGCCAGTTCTCCCATTCCTATAAGAGGATGCTTCTCATAATAATCATATATACTTCAACCAGCGAAAAAAATACACTGTCAGATTACAGTGGGCGGAACCCCATCCTAAGTAACGTTGGCCCAAGATAGAGTGCACCTTTTCCTTGTGCGGCTTAAAATTTGTATAATTGTAGCTGGAGCACAACAAGGCGCGACTGAATCAACTGTTCGAGCAGATTGAGTTGAACATCCAGTGGAGACGGTTAAATGAGCATCCAATTCGAGAATGGTTGGAGAAGTGGGATGACGAACGGCGAGTAATCCAACGTCGGCGAAGACACCACAAACGTCACAACCGTCGCCATCATTCTAGTCCCCATGATTGCATTGATTACGCAATGATTCATACCGATTTTTCTGTCTCTTACCTACCCTGTGTTGATTGTTGATCTTGAAGATATCTGGTCATCTGATTTTCTCACTCGTTTTCTTCTTCTACTTCTCTTCAAAATTCATTTATTCCATGACACATTATTGTGTTGTTTTCTACTCAGTTTTATTCTCAGATACTCTCTGGTGCTTTAGAAAAACTACATATTTTAACACAATATGATCTAAGTTATTTGTTTTTTACTGATAAATTTTTAGATGATGCATTCCCAAGCCTTCCTTCTCTATTTACAAGTTGAGGATATTCAGTTCGCCGCACATAGACGTGATTGTTCCTCTTCACCAAAATGCACGTATACCGAGCGTGCGACGTCAACGTAACGAAGTTTTCTCCGCCCCAGCACTGAATCGAGCGATACCCTCCCCATCCTCCGTAGATCAAACGCAGTCGCATGAGGAACGGGTTTCTCCCTGCGGCCTTCACTACCCTGATGAAGAAAGGTACCAGTTGCCGAAGGAGACGTGTGACTTTTGCTTTCGGCAGCCTTCGCTTGTTGAATATGAAGCACACTGTGTCGACCGCTGCTGTGCTGATCCCTTCACTTTCTCCAAAGCTGTAAATATTATTCAAAATAAGTTCTTTAGGACGACAGACAAGATTTTTGATCTGCTCGTTAGACTCCATCCAAAAAATAGTTGATGCTTCTGTAGGCTGCTCTGTTGACTCAGCCTTGACCTAGGAGATAAGTTTCTTGAGCACATAGGACTAAGAATCATGTGGTGTGTGGGATAATAGTGAAAAGCATAAACGTTGTAGTCATCCCTCAACTACGACTTCCCCAGCTTCCGTAGGGATGTAAAAGAACGAAGTTCTAATCAGCTATTAAAAAATAAACCAGTGATTAGGAATCCACGCCCGTTGGGAGAAGGTAGTTAGAGTAGAAGCTTGGCAACGACAAGTAACCATCTGTCAGATATCTCACCCACCAGATATTCTCCATTCTGTGTCAGATATTCCCCACTCTCTTGCAATGCTGATATGGATTGCGCCTTCCTGAAAAAAACAGGCTAGAGGAAGTGCCGATTGAAAATGAGTACCAGATTGCTATCATTAATGTCATGGACATGGGAATTAATCTGCGCAGAAAACAACGCGATCGTGGCATGTGTCGACGTCTGACGTATTCTTTAGCGTAGATCAATGAACAATTTCACAACAACTGCTAGACGCTCATTCTTTGAAGTATAACGCACTTATCAATGGAACATGGTAAAAAGAACGAGGGGGTGGTTCATTTTCATCGCATACTACATTGACAACGGTGTTCGTAGAGACTACAACTGCCTTTCGGATTGGCTGCACAGCTTCTGGTAAGGTTTTGTTGCCTATGTACTAGGCTCAGAAGCATTTGGACACCTCGAGCTGTTCCAACACTCTGTCACCTATCACCATTAGGTGGAAGAGATGGCTATCGATTACGCGGTGCGAAATGTCGCCGATTGCAGTGCCCCAGATAATGTTCCGTCCCTAGATTGAGCGCCGTTTTGGCTGCAAGCGCTAGGCTCCAAGGGTGCCAGTCCACAGTTTTGAGTAAGCTTCCGAATAGCCAGCAAATATGGACACTTCGGGCAGAGTACAGCATCGTCATATGTGTGACGACAATAGAATCCTTCTCGATTTCTTCCTTCCCTGGCACAATCCCCCCTAGCGCCTAGTGCCACCTACCTGGTGGGAGTCTCCCAATGATGCTGCAACCTGGGTCCAGGTGAGTTGAACACTTCTTATTTGTGAAACGTAGGGACGTGTGAACTCGCGAATACACTCTGGATTTCCTCCCTCAAACGTTTAAGTATTGTAGCGCTGACGCAAGTTTGCAGGCTGGCATCCCGAGGCACATAGGGCACCTCGAGGGCTCGGCCGATTCTGGGCCGACTATGTCAAGCATGTACAGAGCACTTGAGCAAGCGCTGTCAGCATCATGTCGCACTCTGTACAACTCAGGACGATCCTGTAAAATTTCTAGCGGAGCATTGAGGTTTATCGCACGCCCTGCAGAGTCCTTGCCACGCCCCACCAAATTGTGCGGTTGTTGTGTCAATAGGTTCAAACCCATGCAGCGTGAGTTTGCCGCCACTGCGCGCAACAGAATCAGGCGGCTAACAGAATCATGCGGCATACTTACGCGTCACCAAATTGCTCGGCCGTTGTGTCAGCCTAATTGCCGCGTGGTCCTAATGCGCGCTCCGAACGGCAAACTTTCAAGCATAGGGCATCGCCGTGGCGTCAGAATCATTCCGCAATCACCTTAAAGACAATTCCCGCGATCAAGTGTTACGGGTAGTTGGTGCTCAGTCATGAACCAGTGGCCCATAAGTAGCTCCTCAGTAGAAAAGAAGCGAAAAACCTCGGGAACACCCTAAACACAGACCTCCCCTCAGCAGTGGGGCGGCGTCTTGGACGAGTATGTCGGACGTGAAGGACGCGCTCTCCATAGCGATTGGAGCGCAAAGCTTGAGACCGTGGCGTGAGCGCCAGGCAATTCCTGGCCAAGCGATGCGATATTCGTGTTTGGAGGTTGAAGGTCTGGAAACAAATTTTCAGCCTTTTTCGGAAAGCTCGATTGTAAAACTGGTATGATGTTGGAAGATTGGGGTAGTGACAACTATAGCGCCCCCCCCCCATTTAAAAGATCATTAGGCGAGTCTGAGAAACACACAAACTGATCTTCAATTAGCAACATCCTCTCTGCTTGGCGAAGAGTAGGAAGACGAAATACCCTCCTCATGCAATTTATCGTCCCGCATGCTTCCGCAGAGTTATGAAACTCAAGAAAAGGCTGGGTGCTGCTCATTTGTTCACGATCCTCCTAATTGAGTCGCGCGCTTGCAAAGACTATGGAACCCTAAAACAGCCTATGTCGTCTTTAATTTATGTCCAACGGTGCGAGGTTTGCGCTTAATCGCTGTGGAAAGAGCGGTAAACGAATGGCAAAGCGACTAGGAGCGCGCCAGCTGGTGCCAACGTGCCGCGTGGGTGTTGTGGGAGTAGAAGCTGTGCGCGGAGCCCTTGATCTCGCACAGCTACAGTAATTGAGGTCGCTACGCTGTTGCTAATGTCTCTAACTTCCTTTATCTCGCCGTTTTGAGGGACGAAAGTGGTATGTTCTCTGTGAACGCGTATAACAGTTCAAAAGGCATGGAATCATTTTGAGGACCACTTGATCGCGGAAAGTGTCCTTAAGCAGTATGGTCATGCAGAGATCCCTAAAAGATTTGTAGACTCATTAAGAATAATTTTTCACTCAAAAACCACTATTTTATTACGGTTCAAGGAAATGACCGTGAACTATATGAGAGATGCAGCCACCGTTAGATTGGGCACATTCATAAAGCTGTTATTCCGTTGGAGAGGCAGCGTATGGAAAATCATCTGGAAAGAACTCACAATTTATCTCTTCATCTACTTCAACATTTGGTCAGTCAAGATCTTATCATCTAACTGGCTGCTTGAAAAGGACATACACCATGTTGGCGGCGCCATTATGGCGGGATCACTGCACACTCTCCATTTTTGTGGTCCACCCCTTCTGCAAAGCAGCGAAGGGTGTGTGACTGAGCTCGCGCTCGAGCTTCCCCACCACAACATTCCTGCTGCAACCGCTGCCCGAGCTATTTTCGAAAGATGAGGATGGCTATCTGTGTGTGTGTCTAGGTACCTCATTTTCTTGTGGAATCAAGAACGCAGACCTAATTCAATGCCTGTAACAGCGATGTCCTCCGCCTTAGACGTCATTCGCAACTCTGAAAACGCACCGTGGCCCTGGACTAAATACATGTGGTACTATACTCGGAGCCGAAACTCGCAAGCGTCAATTTCGTATGAATGCAGAAGAGAAGTCGCCCAAGTTCTATCACCAGGTATTACACGGCCCCCATGCGGATAACCATTGTGGCAAAAATTCCTGCACTGTGGCTTTCAAGCGGCTCTATACAGAGAACAAATCCGTCGCTGTCGGTGTATATTGCCTGTTCCTCGGCAATCAGATCGACAAATGGATGGTACCACACAACTACAAGAAGGCCACCGTTGCTCGTCATAGTGCCAGACCCCGAGTAACTGTATTGTAGGGCAGTGCTGGGACACAAACAATACTGATAGTGAGAGCTGGGTTCAATCGCCTCACTCGCCCGACCTAAAGGCGTACAATTTTACCTGTTCTTATCAGTTGAAGGTACTGTCCAGCAGCAAACGTTGCGTTGTGTCGTTCGTCGAAATTGGCATCAAGGCAATTCACTCGCACTTGTTGAGAAAGCGAAGGTGCCAGTGTCCCCAGGGGGAGATACCGGGTCATTGTTCAAAAAGGGATTTGCTTAACTACTTTTCTCTTCCTC